ACCAGTTTACATTCCCACCAACAGTGCAGGAGGGTGCCCGTTTCTCCACATCCTCGCCAGCATCTAGAGTTCTCTGATTTGCTCATTTTAGCCACTCTGACTGGCGTGAGGTGGTATCTCAGTGTGGTTTTGATTTGTATTTCCCTGATGAGGAGGGATGCTGGCCACTAAGCTCTAATTTAAAATGCTTAATTTTATGCTATATGAATTTCACCTCAGTAAAAAAAAATAAGGTTGACTATGATAATCACAATGAAAGAAATAAAATCAAAGTATTAAAGAAGCTCAATGGAGAAAGATAGCAGATTCTTTCAGGGATGGAGGTGAGGAGAGGCCCCGAGACAGTTTTCCAAAGGGAGCCTGGGGCAGATACCTACAGTCACCAAACACTTCATTTGCTCCCTCACAAAAAGCTGGATAGAGACCTTAAACAAGGAATTATAATAGAGTGTGGTAAGTGCAGTGATGGAGAGGTAGAGGGTGCCTAAGATGAGACGATGTGATCTATCATCGGAACAAGAACACTATTCAGAGTAAAAGGGACTAAATGAGTAATTAGCCTAATGAACAGCTGTACACCTGGACTGTCCCAGGCAAAGTGGGACATACAGTCACTGTCACTAAGAAACTACTTTGAAGGAACACCTTCTATACAGTTGGGGTTCAGGAAAAGTTTCTGGAGGAGCTAAGATCTGAAGAAGAAATTGGAATTAGCCAAGTGAAATCGGAGTGTTCTAACCAAGGGGACATCACGGACAGAGGAAGAAGAGACCATGACCTTGTGAGAAGCTATAAGTAGTGGATATTTCCCCTCAGAGCAGTACCCGAATGTGGAGGTGAGGAAGGGTGGGTGTGGAGAGGTGACACGGAGGAGCTGGCGGGAGGCAGATCTGGAGGGTCTCACGTTGTCACATTACGGAGCTTGAAGTTTGCCCTAAAGGTAAAGGAAGCCACTGCAGAGGCAAGGGAGTACCCTGAACAGATCTGCCCGTTATGAAGACCACAGTGGATAAATGTGGAGAGAAGCAGGAAAAGAGCAAGAGCTGTAGACTGGAAAATCAGTCAGCAAGCTCTAGGTAAGGGCTGCAGGTGGCCAAAGCTAAGACGGTAGCAGTAGAAGTGAAGAGAAATGAACTGAGAGACAAGGTAAATTTTGATGGGCAGAATCATATGGAAATATTCAGATGGCCGGTATCTATATGAGTCTGAAGCTCATTCATTTATTCAACAAAATTTTATAGAAAATCGACAATGTGCCAGGAACTGCATTAAAGGCTGGTGATACAATTGTATACATTTAGACCACATGCCTATTTTCATGACACTTATAATCTAATGGTGGGTTTGGGAAATGAATAATAACAATGAATACATAGACATACAAATATATCTATCAGACAGTGATAAGCGCTATATGGAGATAGTATAAAGATATAATTAGTGACTAGGCAACTCTAAATGGGATCCTCAAGAAATGCCACTAAATGATATTTAAAATGAATTCAAACTGAGAGTTAAGTGAGAGTAAGGATGTAATAATGTGATCCTAGGAGGAAGAACATTCCAGGCAGAGAATGTTTCTGCAAAGGCCTTTAGGCAAAATACAAAATTAGTGTTGTTTCAGGAACAGAAGAAGACATTTTCGAGTGAAGAGTTTAGATTTTAAGTACTAAGCAAGTTCAAAGCAGAGCAATGACAGGATCTGATCTATGCTTTTTTTTCTTTTTTAACTTTTTTTAAACATTTATTCATTTTTGAGAGACAGAGACAAAGCACGAGATGGGGAGGGGCACAGAGAGACAGGGAGACACAGAATCTGAAGCAGGCTCCAGGCTCTGAGGTGTCAGCACAGAGCCGGATGCAGGGCTCAAACCCACAAACCACGAGATGATGACCTGATCCAAAGTCAGATGCCCAACTGACTGAGCCACCCAGGCACCCTGATCTATGTTTTAAAAAGGGTCTCTTGGGTCACCTGGGTGTCTCAGTTGGTTAAGCATCTGATTCCTGTTTTTGGCTTGGTCATGATCTCTCGGTTTGTAAGTTCAAGCCTCACATCAGGCTCAATGAAGTATTAATATTGGATATAATTTTGTAAATGAAAAATACTTTAAGAAAACAGTTCCTATCTAAACATATGAAAGCAACCAACTAAAATATCATTTATATAAATTATTTTGAATACACTACAACTACAGTTCAAGCTCCCCTTTCTTCTGTACTTTTAGGGAAAGAAAAAAAAGAAAAAAGTAGTAAGCATGTAGAGCTAGGCTTTTTATGGATTTTAGTTAAACCTTATTGCGGTCTCGAAACAAGAGTTAGCCTGTCAGAGAGTAACACTCTTTTGTTACATAGCATGTAGGAATATACCTGTAGAGAGAGGTGAAGTTTACAGACTTGTTTACAGACTTTTAACTACGTTCTCCTTAAGCTGAACTAACACTCAATACAATGTACAGAAAGTATCACAAAACTCCATACGCACCATTTATTAGCAATAAAAGAGTCAGTCGTCAATTACAACACACACATACACACACATACACACACACACACACACACACACCATTCCTCTTAGTAATGCTACTGGAATGCTGCTGGAATTTGAACCTATTGTGTTAGAAGGACTAGGAAGCACTTTAAGGAACAATTGGCAAAATTAGCCACCCTTTTACAGTGGGTTCTATGGTCTGTGATCTGTCCTGCATTTTCTTACTGTTAACAATCGCTAAGAGGACTCAGTAATTTTGTGAGGTCTTTGTCACTAGAACATTTATTTAGCTGTCATTTATAAATGTCGTGCCCCAGGCACTCTGCTGACTGCCATGTTGGGTGGGGAGATTACTAAAAAAGATAAACTTTTAAAATAAATGAATGAATGAATGAATGAAAATAAAACAGGAGCTGCCCACTCAAAATGAGAAAAAATTTCCCAGACTCCAACACTTTCCTTTTACAAAGAATACACTGTGGGTGACACTGATACCTGCCTAAGTCTCGTTCCTTATTGCGCTGACCAGTTTTCTATGAATGCTAGGGTTATATGGGCCGGTTCAGTTCATTGTATTATAGGTCATGCTCAAAGCAAGATGATAATGTGGTCACTTTAAACTGCTCTTGAAAGATCTGTCCCTACAAATAAATCAAATATCCTCTTTAATCCAAGACTGCCCCCCATGTTATGACTACACATCTCCTTTCCTTCATTTATACACAACTGCCTCCTGAGGGTCCATCCATATACCGGAGCTCATACAGCCTAGGCGTTTATCTGGTTCTTTAGGCATCCGATTTTCATCTATCACCCTAGTCCTTACCTGATTGCCTAGCACGGCGGTGGCACAAGCCGTGGATACCTCCTTGGGCCCAAACCACACTGAGGCGATGCGGGAGGGCAGGCCGAGGATGAACACCTGGGCCACCGAGCACAGGAACTGGCCCAGCATGGTGACCCAGAAGAGATGCTGCTCCACACTGGCGCACTTGATCCAGGCGCCAAGGCAGTTGAGGCCTGAGCCCAGCAGGGCGGTGAGCCGTAGGCCTCTGGTGTCCAGCAGCCACGTGGCCGGGAAGATGAGGGGCACGTAGGCCAGCATGTACACCATGGACAGCCAGTCAATGTGCAGGGAGGAGACGCCGTAGAAGCCCTCGAAGATGTTGCTGATGATGCTGTACTGGATCCACTGAAAGGCGTTCACCAGCGAGTACAGGCTGAAGATCAGGAGCACCACAAAGCGCCGCGCAGACAGCGCGATCTGGGGCGCCTGGGAGTCCTCGGTCCCCGGGGTCTCCTCCCCGGGGCCCGTGGGCAGCAGCCGGGTCTGGGTCTCCTCCTCTGGAGCCAGCGGAGTCTGCGGCCTGCATAGGGCTTCCGCCGCGGCCGCGAGGCTGTCCCGAGACACTCCATTCAGGGTCAGTAAGCCGCCTTTGGGCCTGTTCTGCGGCTCGGCGCTCACCTTTCCGGGGGGCTCGCCTCCCGGCACCAGGAGGTATCCATTCGTGGGCTGGTGCCCGGGTGCCACCGCTGCCTCATCGTCCAGCTTCACCATGTCCCTGGGCTCCCCCGCGCCGTCTCGCGCCCCGACCCTTCTCCCCCGTCCCGCACCCCTGGCCCAGGACCCGAGGCCCTCCCTGCACCCTAACCCCAGCCCCTCGGCCCACCGCTCATGCGCCCCTTCCCCCGGCCGAGTGAGCCAGAGTGCGAGCCGCGAACCTCAGCCGGAGCGGTGGGAGTACGCAGGCGAAGCAGATGTCCTCGCGCGCCTCCAGGCCTGCGGTCACCCTTTGCCAGGCCCAGTTCCAAGAACGTCATATCACCGCGGGTGACGGCCCCACTGACCAATCAGTGGGAGCCTCCTTTCGGCGCGTAAGCCAATCGGGGAGTTTCCGGCAAGGAGGAGGCGGGAGCAAATTTGCTGGGAGGAGAGCGGAAGGCGGGGCTGGAAGGTAAGGCTGGGCGATCTCCTCCCCGGAAGGATGCTGTAACCGGGAGTAACAGACCTGGTGAGAGGGTGGAAGGAGGTGGGGAGGGGGTGTAAAGGGTGGGCGGGACGGTGAGAGGCGGCCTGGCCCACAGAATTTGGCCTCGCCCCGGCACAGCTGTCTGTCAAGATCGTAACCTTACTTTAGAGCAGACAGGACCACGTTTCAGAAATTCGTGCCACCCCGGCAGAGGGAAAACACCAGAAAGTGTTTCGATCCAAATAAAGAGATGTCAGAAATCTGCCCTTGTGAAGTTGGAATCCCCACACACATACCCCGCTGATGACTGAGGCTGGTGACAGGTTCTGTGCCTGAGCAGACCCCGTGACTCAACACTCTCTCTTGGACCACCTCCTGTAGTTAGCACTTACCGGACGTGCACATTCACCCGGTTCAGTGGTTCCAGGTACCAAACTTGTTTTGAACGGTATGTTCCAGACACTGTGGTGTCCTGGGGAATTTAAAAAAAAAAAAAGAAAGAAAGAAAAGAAAGAGAGAGAGAAAGTTCCTGCTCTCAAGAGCACGTGTTGCTAGCCTTGAGAGTCTTCTAGAGAAAATGTCAGCCCTGCTGGTAGTTTAGGAAACTTTGCAAGAAAACAAACAGAAAGACTCCAAATATTCATTATTAAAGTGAAATTGAAATCCGGGGTATCTAACTATGGGTTTAATCTTGAAAAGTGCTACTATCTAGAAGCCTAAAACCCTGTACATCTTCTGTTTCCTCTTAACATTATTTTGGTGGTGTATATCAGATCTATGCCTCAGATCTGCATCAGATACCTCTCAGTACAGGTGAAATACTATGTAATACTAAACCTTAAGGAATACTACGTGCATTTTAATGTCTTTTTTGGCCATGCGATATAAGTTGCCACATGCCACCACCACCCTCATCATCCTCCCCCTTCTCCTCCATCCCCTTCCCTGCTTAATTTTTCTTCTTAGCGCTTACCACTATCTAAAATATCCTATATTTTACTTTTCTTTCTGGTTATTTTCTCCCTCCCCACTAGAAGGTAAGCTCATGAGGGCACGTTTGAAAATGTATTGCTATTTCCTGAATGACTGCAGCTAACAAGCATTGAATTACTATTGAATGTTTTAAACAATAATGTGCTTTGTGAATGAATCCATTTTTTAAACTTGCAAATTTTCCTGAAAATATTTTCTAAACATTGATTTGGATGATATTTCAAATTATTGAGCTGTGTTCTCTGAATTAACAAACAAATAACCAAATGTGGAATCCAAAGGACTTCAGTCTTAATTAAGAATTTTATTTTATGGATTTCTGAAAAAAACAAAAAACTAATTGTACTGCTTAATGTTCAGCACAACTTATTATTCAATATTCAGAGGCATTTTTTTAAATACCTTTATATACCATGAAACTTTTTAAATAGTTCATAGCAAAGCTGTTTAGAAAGGGAATCCAATGGGTAGAATTTTAAATGGACCTTTCTTTACTTGTCCCAGTCATACCTCCGTTCCAGATATTTGCAGTATAACATTCAGGTATCTGCAAATGCCACAACCCATCCCTGAAACCAGAAAATGGCAGATTATATTAGCTTTCGTTTCCCCCATTATCCAGTGTGTGTTGGAGCTTGTCTTCTGCCAGATCTGAACAGTAGCTTCCTTCTCTGCACAGAGGCAGCTTCCTGAGTGTACTTCTGCAAAGGGGGCATTCTTTCTGATTGTGTATAGGCTTCCTCTGTTTAGTGATGATTTGCCTTCTTTATGTCCTTAGCAAGAAGGATTGTGTCAAGAGTCCTCTGGGTATCCTGGATCACAGTCAGTATCAAATTTCCCTCCACATTGTTACCATCTGGCACCTATTCTACTCTTGCCCACTTTGTCATTTCCCTTCCCTGCCCATGGCAAAGCTCTGTATCTGACCCTGTCACCACCTACATGGAGCACAGCATCAAGAGGGTTTAGAGTAGTGGAGAAAAGCAGATCTAGAGCCAGGCTACCTGGATTTGAATCCCAACTTCAGTATTCACTAGCTGCACACCCTTCGGCAAGTTACTTAGCTGTACATACTTCATAGGATTGTTATTATGAGGAATAAATTGAGTGAATAATGCCTGGTACATTCACATATAGTGAATGATGGTTTAGGCATTCTTAGTTACAGTTATTAAGGTAGTTTATATAGTGGTTAGGGTCATGCTCTCTCAGCATGCTCTTTCAGCTGCATGACTTTGGACTAGTTACTGTGTATCTCAGTTTCTGCAACTGGAAGATGAAGACAATATTCATAAAATTGTTGTGAGAAATAAATGGCTAATAAATATAAAGTGCTTAAATAGTGCCTGACCTCTGAACTATAGTAATCAGTACTATACCCAATAAATGTTACCCAAAGCCATTATTATCAACTCGTGTCTTTCCTCAGAGTTATATCTTGTTCTCATGTTATCTTAGATTTGACCGCATCTTGCCCATTGAAGCCTGCTTGGATTGTCCTGGAGTTATTCCAAGCTCTCTCAGACTGAATTTATGATTGTATATTTCCTCCCCAGAAGGTGCTCTCAGAATGCCCTGAAAGGGCAGCACACAGTGGAGTATACTAACTACTCTTGGCCTAAGAGGTAGATTTCTTGTTAGAGGTGGTCAACAGTTGAATGGAACACCTGTGATGTATCTAGACAATAGATGGTATCTATATTGGATGAAGTGTGTTGTGGATAGGATTCCTGAATTCCATAGAAAATTGAACTATATGAGATCTAAGATTTCTTCTGACTCAAAGTTTCTATGATTTATGAAAAGTAAAATAAGATATTTCCAAAGAAAGGATTAGACAAAATTCATTGCTTAGTTCTACAAAGTTCAGTAAGTAAAGAATGGAGTACAGAAAGGGAAAACTCAGCAGTATCTCTTTGTAGTATCATCCTAGTTCTTAACCTTGCCTCCTCTCTCTGATACTTATTAACCAGTTAGGCATGAGTCATACTTTATATCATATATTTGGATGAATAACAGCATAAACCTTACTCTCTGCCAGAGAGGACAGTACTGGGAGCATCATTTGGTTGGGAGTCAAGAGGAGATTGAGCTACATTATGGGCATGGAATGCCAAGTCTGAGAGAGATTTGAATAAGTAACAGTTCAGCAATATAAGATCTGAATCGCATCCAGGAACCAAGGTCCAAGAGGCTATTAAGAGTGATGTGGCTGTTGCTGAGCAAAGGTCTCCTGCAGTCCAAGAGGTTAAGATGCAAACTAGAACAATGATACTAGATGTAAAATCCACCATGTTTCATGGGGAAGGGGGTAGATTTCAGCAGCCTTACCTTCAGTTTACACCACCATTACTGTGTTCTATCCACCAGTGTGACCGAGTCTATGCTGTTGTACTCCGGAAAGATTAAGTTGGGAAAGGAGGGGTGGATGAGGCTGGAAACCCAAATTTTCCCATTATGTACCTTTCTTCCCCCTTGAGACATTTTCTGTGTGTGTGTGTGTGTGTGTGTGTGTGTGTGTGTAAAACATCCATAGAAAAGAATCCCAGCATTTTCCCTTCTGTGTATTTTTGTCTTGCTTCCTTTTGGTCCGTGATGCCAGTTGAGTTCTTACCAAAAAACCAAATGGAAGGTGGAGGGGACTGAAAGTTCCAACCCTTTAGTCTCTAGGTTGGTTCTCCTGGCAACCAGCCCCCATCCCTAGGTTCTTTCCAAAGGTCATTTCATTAATATAACAAAGAAATCATCTCAGGAAAGTCCCAGGGTTTGAGGTGGTCTGTGCCGGAAACTATGGGGTGAAGACTAAATATATTGTTCTTATTATAAATCACAAAAACACATTAATTAGCATGGTAGTAGGTATGTAGTAGCAATGTAGTAGCAAGACTAATTGCTGATCTCCAGGCTGGGGGTGTGAGGTCACTAATATCCGTGTCACCCACCCCCACCCCCCTTAGGAGTGGATCACGGAAGGAGCTGGATGTGGCTGAGTATGCAGACTGGAGATAAAACCAACAGCAGAGGACTGGCACAGCAAACAAGAAATCACACTGCACCGATCCACTCAGTGCCTCTAGTATGCCATGTGCGTGTTTATCATGCCATCTGCCTCATGATCTGCTGAGAAATGCTCTCCATCTTCCCTTGACTTGGCCAAATCCTACACACCCGTTATGGTCCAGGTCAGTTCCATCCCTACCTCTTTCCTTAGTGTTTTTGTGATCAGAGCCCCTAGAGATGTCATCCTCTTCTGACCAGTAACACCTTCGGAGCTTCTCACTGAACATTTCCTGGGGGTTACTTAGCTTTTCCTTTGCATATTTTATTCCTTATCTAGATTTGAGCATCTTGAAGCTGAGGACTGGATTTTATATCTTATTTTATAACACCCTCAGTACGTAAAAAAGTTCTTTACTTGGCAGTGTAGGGACCCAGGGCAGGTCACCCCAAAATGTGCCACAGTGGCATACTGATGGCTTTGAATTAAAGCTGCTGAAGAAACAGCCAGTGCAAGGACACTCTGACCTATCTCTGTCCTGCAGAAAAGGGGAAATAAATCTCCCATGTGGAAGGCACCTCCCTGTACCAGGAGGTAGAGAGATAGGGAATCCTTATCGGCAGAA